CAAAACTGTCCAGTTGAGATTTCTGTAACACTTCACATATCTGTGGGATGTTCTTATGTGTTGCATTTAAGACTGTCCATTTTATTATTTATGTGACAAAGTTTTTTTTTACATCTGTTGAAGACCTTGTAAGATACTTCTAATGCATTTGAATAAAAAAAAGTTTTTATTTTATGACTTTCATTTTCTGAGGCTTTATGCAAATGAGCAGTGGAAGTGTTATATCCAAGAAAGAGTTTGTCAGAATTTCATGTTAAGCAAGTTACTGACAATTTTTAGTTTGCTTGGGAATAGTGTCAAAGCACAGTCCTCTTTTACGAAGGGGTTTGCAAGATCAGTTTTTGGCTGAGTCAGTCTCTGTGGTGTTTCATAGCATCCTACTCTAACAGCCAGTTGATCATGGGTCACAAAAATGGGATATTTGGTTTAGTAGAGTGCTGTGCTGGGAATTGTCAAACAAAAAGCTTAATGTAAATGAGCAGATGAGAGACTGTAGTGCAGCTTTCACTTAGTTAAGGTTTTAGCTTTGGCTTCTCTCACAGGTTCTCCCTTTTAGTATGAAAGAAATTGGCATGCTATACTGGAAAAGTACAAGGAGATTTAATTAGTGGATGTATTGGGATTACTCTGGGCTGCTATTGCATTGTGCTTTTTAGGTTTTGAAATACACTTTAAGATTGATGTAAAAGCCCAGTGTAAAGTTTATAGAGTTACATAAATGCCTGAGATTTCAGAAAGGTACCATGCATTCCCCAAAACATTTCAGCTGAGAAATGCTTCTTATTTTCCAAAGACACAGGAACACATTTAACATTTAGTGAGCATTTCTGTGAAACTCCTACACACTGAATCAGAGTCTTTAAGTAAGCATTTTAAATTTTAGTAGCAACCATGTATAGATGTGTGCCAGTGAAGTACAGAAATGCAAACATCAAAAGCATCAGGATCATTTATCCTGTTGCATGTCCTGCCGTTTATTCTAATGGTTGCTTTAAAAGTTGTACCAGTTCTCCAATAAGTAAATAACATTCTCAGAGGAAAAAATATGGTCTGTTGTTTGGAAGTTCTTGAAAAAATTAGTGTGGTGTCCAAGGATATTTGCCAGAAGTAAAATTTTAGATGGTTACATGAGGAAAAGTGAGTTCTTAAAGTTATTGCAAGCCTGTTTATGTTTTAGTCCTAATTTGCTAGATATCAAAAGAGTCTTTTGTCTATTTTCCTATAAATTGTGTGATGTCTGGTAATGGTATCACTTTCCCCTCTCCCATGGAACTGTAGAGAAAAAAGAAATAGTCTATATAATGCTGTGTAAAAAAAAGGGCCCAAAAATGCCCCCCTCTAAACTAAACAAAATAAACTAAAAAAAAAAAGATAAAAGTTTCCTTTTCTCTCTGATGGTTTTGCAAATAAATATTTTTGGTGAGTGAACAGGCAGGGTATTTTTGTGCAATTAGATTCTGCCTCTTATTTGATAAGAAAATGTTAAAACCCACACATTCAAATTGAATTTGGATTTTGGTATAAGGGGACAGAAACAACTCTGCCCTTGCTGAAAAGTAATTTGAGGCTCTTAGAAAAAAACAAAACAAAACAAATGATTGTAGAAACATCAGCAGCATGTTTTTGGAATTTCTTTTTCCAATTTATAGCCACATGCAAATTTCTGCTATAGATTTTTTTATTATTGAACGTATATAAAACCATTTTTCTGGGTTTATTTAATGTGCAGGAATGAAGATCACATTTAATCATTGACACATATAATGGCTCTACATTTAGCCATTATATGTGTCAAAATTATTTTTCTCTTGTGTATGTTTTGTATCTTCATATAGTAAAGGCAGTGTACAATACATGACCCTAGCACATAATTCAGCTGTAAATAATTTTTTAAAAGAGAACAATTTGATATTGTGTATGCTTACAAAACATAAATAAGGGTAGTGAGTTTTGGTAGTTTGATTTTCTTTGCCAGCTATTTCAAAAATTAGTTCTGTATTTTAAATACATATTTTGAAAATCATATGACAAAAAGTATATATATACATGGCTGAGCTTTTGTTCACAGAAATGTGAAAAAAGGATTGGATAAAACTGCTAACTGAAAATTATAAGCAGTCTGACACTTTAATTCATACACTAGAGAGCCCAAAAGCTCTTAAAATGACAGAAATTTCACCAGTGTTAGTGATTTGTAGGTTTGTATTTACTATACAGGTTGGTCATATAGCTGGCAGTTTTTCTTTTGTATAATTCTTGTAAGTTATTGTATTCTGGTATCTGAGTGAGAAGCTAGTACAGTTGTGAAGGAATATGACAACATTTCTTCAAAAAGATTAAGACAATTCAAAACTGTATAGGTGTACAATTTCTCCACATTTTTTAACTTTTACATTTTTTGCATACATGACTATCAAAGGAAATGTGCAATTTCAGACTTTAACTCCGCGTGAGATGTGTTTTTGCACAATATTATTTTTTCATGGGACAGTGATTTCTGCTGCTACATCCTAGTTTATACATACTGAAACATGTAGCATGTTCGGTCTGAAGTATTACATGCAGCATAATTTTATTATGCAGCACCTTCTAAAGTAACACAGATTGCAAAACACCCTTTAGTCACTTGGCGTCAAGCGTACCGAAATTCCTGTTTAGCGCGGAGTGTTCTCCATTCAATGTTTTCCAGGAGCCGTCCCTGGTGAGTGCTCTCTGGATGAGGCTGGTGGCTGGCCCGTAACCCGAGCCATGTTCTGTTTGCCTGTGTTGTCTGCAGAGCCGCACAACACTTGCATTAGCTGCATTGATCAGCCCACCTCGCATCTCATCGTTTAGGAGACAATTAATACTACCTTGTAAAGGCTCCCCAGAGCATTTCCTCGGAGCTGGATTGCTTTACACACAAACCACAGGCCATGTTTGCAAAAGGGGATAGAGCCAAGTAGGAAAAAGGAAAAACACATTAAGAAAGCTTTGTCTAGGAACCAAGTTTCATTTGCTGTGGTGACTTTCACTCCTGTCAGTCAAACTCCCTTTTCTGAGAGAGCGTTTGGGAAAGAAAATTAGCTTTTTGTTTTGGCTTCAATATTTTGAAGCTGATTTGTTGAAAATATGCTGTAAGAGGTCACAAAAATATTTTTAAAAGCTTCCTCTTGAGAAATATGCATTTGATTGGGAAACTTTTATAACTTGCAGTCAAGAGTGTGAACATTCTAATTTTATATTAAGGACATATTTTGAAATATTGGTTGACATGTTTTAATTCTAATTTTAATTATTTTTAAATAACATCTTTTGATAGACAAAAAAAAAAAAAAAAAGAGTGTGTTTATCATTCTTTCTTTTTTGCTGTAGTGCTTCTACCAGTGTTGAATTTCGGTATTGCCTGATACTAAAGATAAAAATCAGATTTTAACTATATGTGAATATGTTATCTTAAGAGCAGGCAAGGCTCTTAGTGTGCTTCTTCATCTTTAGGTATTAAAGTATTTAATATTGAAGATCATCCACAGAAGCAGGTGAAGAGCATCAACTGATAAAATCCAATTATTTTCCTGGAAATTTCTAAGGTTACCGTACTGTTCTCTGTTAAAGTCTATGTTGAACTCTTGTAAGGAGCATATCTTAAGATGATAGAAGCTGATTATATAAACATAAAATTGATAGGAAGGGAATTTTATGGGGGAGGTTTCATACCACTCTAGTACATTAATCTGTCTGATTCCATGCAGGTTGTACAGTGGAAATGAAGACAACCAACATATGGTGAATTTCAGAAATTGTTGTCAACTTATTAGTATTTGCCACATCATTACATTGTCATTTTCATTTTCTTAGGTAGAGTAAGTGTGAGAAGAGATTAATTTGTGACCTTAAATCAATAGTATTTACTAGGAGTATATAAATTAAAAATATTATTTTATTTATTTTTGTGCTAATTCCATGGCTCAATTTTGTTATTTTGCTCCCTCTCTCCATAGTCTTAGAGAAAAATATGCACTGACAGTGAATAGATATATATATATATTTGCAATAAAATCAGTATTATGGTATTACTGTATTTTTAGGAATACACCAGTATCTTGATAGTTTATTTTATAATCATCTTCTGTTAGTAGAACTGTTCTACCAGTATTTGAAGACAAGAGTGAGGTGATGAATATTAAAAAACTGTGTATGTTGGAAGTGTAAAGAATATGTTTTTGAAAGTACGGATTATGTGAAGTTTTAAGGCAGTTTTACTTGAGTTTGTAGGTTGTCTTATATTGGTATTCCTGCAGAATGAAATTGGAAACTACAATATTCCTTTTTAAGGTGGTTTTTACGGTTTTGGGGAGTTTTTTTCCAACTCCTGTCAGATCCTGTTTCTCAAGTCAAAACTGATTTTCTGGAACCTATTTAAGTGTTTTAGTATGTGGAATGCAGAACATGGATTGTTTCAGTGAAGTATCATACTCTTACCCTTAGGATTGATACTGGGAGTTTTTATATTTGTTTAGTGAAGATGTATCAAACTGTAACCCAATATGTAAAATACCCCTTGTTTGTTATACAGTAAAGCCATATAAAATCATCTAAAACCAGTCTCATCACAAAAAAAAAAAAAAATCAAGGAAGTATTTTTCCACAGTTCTGCATTCATCTTCAGCCATCCTGTAGAGGTTTATAAATAAGGAATCGATAGATAAGAACTGGTGTGGATTTTTTTGTAGCCCAAACAGAACAATTTCATTTTGGAAGAAGGTTATGAGTATTCCGAGTGATATTATCCAGGCTGACTTGGAAAGTTAGTGATTGTGGGATCTACACCTATAGTTGTTTAAAATACCTTCACATCATCAGTATGTTATCTTTCACAAATCTCTCATTTGTACTTTTAGGGAGCTATTGCTCATTGGTTTTGCAGCATTGCCTTTCAGTGCCATCTTTGTGCCCTAATTGAAGCAGTTTGTGGGACCTTGAAGAATCCACACCATTCAGATGACTCTTGGTATTTGCAGGTACTACGGAGCGGGTGTGTCTGATCCAGGGAACGGTCGAAGCACTAAATGCAGTTCATGGCTTCATCGCAGAGAAGATTCGAGAAATGCCTCAGAATGTGGCCAAGACAGAGCCTGTCAGCATCCTACAGCCTCAGACCACTGTTAACCCAGACCGCATCAAACAAGTGAGTTTTTGCTTGGGAATAGAGAGTCACAGCAGCTCCTTAGAAGTCTTAAAGCTTTAGTGCTGGAAGGGGTAAACATAACTTGTTCTTTAAGAAAATGTTGTTTTAGACTTTATTAACTTGCTGGTACTCTTTTTTCCTTGTACTTACATGTTCTATGTTTCTCAGCAGCTCTTTTAGACAGTGTTTTATAAATTCCAATGCCATGCTCTAATGTGTTTTTTTCATAAACTTTTCTTTACTGTATAAGGTGATAATAGACCTCTGGGTCTTAGTTCAACATTGCTAAATTTTAATCTTAAATGGTGAACCCTATGTAAATCTTAAGTGTTACTAAAAATAACAGATTAACTGAATGTTCTCTACATTTATGTATATAAATAAAAGAAAAAAGGTAACTTCTTTTTTAGACCCTAAATTAGATAACTTAAAGTATTGCCTGTAAGAACTTTAAAAGATAAGGATAATTTACTTGGGAAGTTTTTTACAATTTCATTTTATGTTATTTTTGAGCATCTTTTTGCCTATTTTTTACTGGTTTCACTCAAAATCTTTGAGTACTGCAAAAACTATTTGCAAGCTGTTACTACCCTAGTTCCTTATTCTTTGATTTTCCATACAAATTTTAATTTTAAAAATTTTGCTCTGTAAGGACATATGTATCATATAGGATTTAAAGTTATTTTCCATTGCATTGAATAAGAAAAGAATGAAGAAAGAAATTAATGGACATTAGTAAAATTTTGTCTTGTCTGTCTATCCTGTAGAGGAAAGATTTTAGATACTCATCTATCCTATGTGGGAAAAGACTGTTTTGTCCTTCTACACTAGTAAGGTTCAATTTCCTATAATTTGGTAACTGTGTGCAATTATTTTACTCTGTATACAGTGACATATACAGAATGCTTATATAAAGATGTTTTTGAGCAGGATGAGTTTGGAACAGACTGCTTTAGTTGGATGAAACTGTGCATAAACGATTTATATGATTTCTAATATTTACTACTATTTATTTTATTATGTATGCAATAATTTTGCATACTAATTACTCTAGATAATTTATAAGAAAATACTAAAAAGAAAGCCCCCAATTTTATAAGATTATAAAGTTTATAAGTTTCTCAATTATTAGACGTGAAAATGATTATACCTGAAAGAGAGAGAAAGATCTGAAAATTATCTATATTTTGAGTGGCTTTTCTGCTGATAAAATATTGGATTTTATGCCAATATTTCTTTATCCAGTTGGACATGAGTGTTCTGTTATGCAATAAAAAGTGTTTTTCCCCTTTTGAAATGAAATGAAGCTAGTTTTTTAGGTAAGTCAGTAAGATCCTGAGAAACCAGATTACAGAGCTCTTTAGTGCAATGCCTAAATAATTACTCTCTTGTGTCTGAAGATGATATATCTTGTTGTCCACACTATTTCTTCAGAAAATGTATTTGCAAAGTTGTTGAGGTTGTTTTTATTTTATTTTGGGGGCTTGTTTTTTGATTGGTTGATTGGTTTGCTTTGGTTGTTTCTTTACTTGTTGCTGTTTTTTGGGTTTTTTTTTCATTTTTTAAATTTTTTTTTCCTCTTATTTGAAAGTTTGTTTGGTTTGGGGTTTGTTGGTTTAAAATGCTAAGTTCCATTAAATTCTGGAGGGATGGATTAGTGAATGCAGTCACTGCTAATGAAGTTAAGACAGATTAAAGTACAGTGTATACTAGCTTTGCATCTTAAAATATAAGTATATTACTTGTATACATACAGGTGTATAATACAATGTCAAATATTTGGGGATATGCATGTGCATATGTTAAACAATTTTAACCACAATGAGTTGTTTAAATTCTCTTTTAATGAGGCAAATCTGTTAATGATAAATTAATACACTATAAATATTGACTCAATCTAAAATTGACTCAAACCTAAAATCCATTATTTTTACCATGAGATGAAGTTGTTAGCTTAGGTCTTAGGTAAAATTTGGAGCAAATGAATCTTTCCTTCAGTGTCAGATTATACTGTACCTTAATGAAAGATACAATACCTCGATTTCAAAATTTAGGAGAATAATATTTTCTAAGAAGTTGCTGTGATTTAGATCTCCAGTGTTCTTATCTTCTTGAGAGCACAAATATGACAATTTTATTAAAATCATTAGTAAAATTTTTAATACTAGTTATTTTGAGGGTTTTTAAAATAAGCCTTTTTATTTGTAATTTCTTATTTTATGCAAAATTTTACATGGTTCTTCCTGTCTTAGAATCTTGCCCAAGAACACTGACACACAAAATATTACATTGCAGATTGAAGAAAATTTAAAGGTATCTGAAATAAAAAGTTTGACCTTCATTTAGGAACTCTGAAAATATTTCAGTCAAAAAGAAGATGTAGTTGTCTCCCCATGAATAAAGATACCAATAGTTGAAGTCTTGCAAAGCCACTCTGTCTGTATGAGCATGCAGCTCTCATTTCTCTGTTGGAATTTCTCTGTCTTGGGCTGCTTTATCAGCACTCACCCTAGGGAAGGGAGCTAAGAAAAAAAGTTTCTGAGTTTAGAGTCAATGAAGAAAGGCAGTAGGTAAAGCCTTTGCTGACTACTTGAACTTCAGCACTTTCTGTCTTCTGGTAAGGCACAGGACACAGAGAGACTGACACTGGCCTGGCATTTCTCCTTACTAATGGAAATCACTGTCTGAACATTCTTACCCTTTAACTTCAGCTTTTCTTCTGCAGAAGATTTGAAAGCAAATCTATGTGCTTCCTTTTGAGCTTTCTCCAGGTTTTTTTTTTATGTCTCTTCTAATGCTTTCGACTTATCAGTGGATACCAGGGAGTTCTCTTCTCCAAGTAGGTCTGATAGATGTTTAATTTGCAAATGTTTGTATCTTTTATATCTACACAACATAGACAATATCCATGGATGTCAGTCATCTGCTATTTCTATAAGTATCACTGAACAATAACAAACAGGTTCCTATGCCCTTTTTCTTTCCAGAAACTGCTATGAGCATTTAGCCTCCATTTTCTCTATTTATTAATTAGTGTCATACAAACTCTTCCAAACCATAACATAATTCACAGGAACAAAAACATGTTTTCATAAGAGACCATGAATGTCAGCTGTTTAGTCTTTGTAATCAGCATCCAAAACTTTACATTTTGCCTCTAAATTAATAGCAACTTTTATAAACAATGGAAAGGGCTGCTTAAATTGGTTTTATCACCTGCTTCAGAGATTATTACAACTTTTTTGTAGGCTAGTTGAATTTTCCTTCCAGCTTTCAGTTGTAGCAGGTAGCAGATGTTTTAGCAGCCTGTCCAGGAAGCACATGGAAACAGAGATGGCCATTGCCAAACTGTGCATTTTATGGAAGTAAAGAGAACCTATCTTAAAAATAACTGTTCTTCAAGCAGGAGTTTGAACTGTTTGGCCTTCTGAGACCCCTTCCTATCTGAATGATTCTTTGATTCTATGAAATGTTTAAGTCTTTCAAAACATAGAAAAGGATTTAGAATTTCCTCCTTGTAAATCTAGGGTAAAACTTTCATGTATAGAAATTCCAATTGAAGCTTTTATTGGAATCAGTTTCACTTCAGCGTTTTCAGTAGATAATTAATGTCTCATGAGTTAAATTTCTGTTTATTAATCATAGTCCCAGGTATTTTATTCAAAATCTACAAAAGATATTGTCTGAACTCAGACTTGTTATTTCATTTTCCTCTATTGAAAACAATTGCTTTTACTCCAGAAATGTTGATCAACAACAAAAAAGAAAACCTAATAGTTTTTAAATAAAACCTTTTTCTTTCAAATGCCTGTATAGAACCTGAGTTGAAGAATACACAGCTGAAAATATTGGCTTAAATGGAGGAGAGGATTGTTGGTTTGGATTATGAGTTCTTCAGACTCTAAAGGCTCAGCAGACTTCATAGAATCATGGAATGGTTTTAGCTGGAAGTCAAATTAAAGATCATCTAGATCCACCCCCTGTGTCAGGAACACTAGACCAGGTTGTCTTATCCAATCTGGCTTTGAACAGTTCCAAGTATGGATCATCCACAATTTCTCTGGTTAGCTTCTAGTGTCTCACCACCATCACAATAAGGCTGCCCCCTGATATTGAATCTAGATCTACCTGTTTCAGTTTAAAAACCTCATCCCTTGTCCAGTCACTACTCTACCTGATAAAAAGTCTGTCCCAATCTTTCCTATAGGCCCCTTTAAAGTGATGAAAGTCTTCTCTAAGATCTCTAAGAAGCTTTCCTGTCTCCAGAATAAACAATGCCAATTCTCTCAGCCTGTCTTCATAGGACAGGAGTTCCAGTCACCGGTCATCTTTGTGGTCCTACTCTGCATCTTCTCCAGCAGGTCCATGTTTCTTCTGTCCTGAGAGCCCCAGAGGTGGATGCAGCACTGCAGGTGGAGTCTCACTAGAGCAGAGGGACAGAACCACTTCTCATCCTCCTAGACACACTTCTGGGGCAGCCTAGGGTGCAGTTTGCTTTATGGCCTGCATGTGCACGTTGCTGGATTGTATTCATTCTTAATCTACCAACACACTCAGATTCTTCCTTCCTTAAGAAACTTTCATTGGTTTCTTAAAAAGCCTATCCTTTCTGAGAAGCCTTTCTTTTCTTTATCATCTCTTTAAAAAAAAAGTCTATCACCTAGATGAATCTTAATAAACTGTAGAATATGAGAAATTTAAAGTTTTAATTTAAACAAAAATTAAGTAGCTTCATAGATCACAGTGTCATCTTTTTATCTAGTTAAAAACTTCTCATAAACTTTTTTCACTTGTGAACAGAGGTGAAAAATCACACCAGTTATCATTCTGCAATGTATAATAAGATAGGCATGGGTCTTCACAAGTTTCAAGAACAAAAAAAAAGCTACTTAGTTCTGTATGTTGAATCCAGTGGCAAAAGTTTAGTATTCCATAAAAATATGTGTACTTTATCCTGTCCTTTATGTGCTTAATTCTTCTGGCACATCACTAGTTTTATT